GCACGAACGAGAGAGAAAGCATTACCAGACGTGGTACGGTTAATGGTGTCCCCAATAGCTGTCTCACTCTCTCTACGCTTGAATGCAGGCAATATGAGTGAGACAGCTATAGAGACACGCGCTGTCTCTATAGGTGTCTTGCTCGCTCTAATAGCCATATCGCGCTTTCCTCTTTTCTCCTTAGCAGAAATGCCGATCAAGGAGGCAATCTATAGGCTGTCTATAGGCCAGAAAAATAAGCTATTTTCGCGAATTTTTTTTTTTCGGAAACTAAGCAGACGATTGATTTCAAACTTGATAAAAATAATAATATATATTTTATTGATGAGAATGAATTTTTATAGCGTTATATGAATAATAATGTAGCAAATATACAAAAAATAACGTGACGTGTTTAGGCGCGCGCCGGTTCCTATAAAATCTCGAAATACGGTAGACTGGGACAAAAAGGCAAGTAAAATAATTAATCTACGAACTTGCCGCTAACTCGTTTGAATTAAGGAAATAAAAAACAAACTACTTTTTTAATATTTTAAGGCATTTAAAAATTATATTTGAAAAATCGTCATAAATATCGATGATTTTACGTTAAGAATATTTTATTTGCAAGAAAACGATATTTCAGGAAATTTACGAAAAAACTTATTTTATGCCGTAAGATATGTCAAATTGTGCAATTCTTTTTAGACGCAACATATCTTTACTTTTGAAAAGACTACGAGGAGGGAGAATAAATGCAACATCTTCCTTAAAATGCTACTTAAAATATAGGTTCCGCTCTTGAAAATATAAAAAAAAATTAGGAGACATTTAATTATAATAAAAATTACAATAATAATAACGAGATGCTATATAGCATCTCCTGAAATCAGAGAAAAAACTTTTTTTATATAAAAAAAGTCGATCGATCGACTTCAGCATCTAATTACATATTCGAAACATGTCTATCTATCGTGTGAACTAGCGAAATAAAAAAAATATTAATTTTTTATATGCACCGCGCTATCTCTATAGGTGTCTCATTCGCTGTAATAGCCAATGGCATTTATGCTCGCAATTTGACATATCTTACGGCATAAAAAATGTATCGCGCTTTTCTATTTTATAACGCCATAAAAATTCATTCTCATCAATAAAATATATATTATTATTTTTATCAAGTTTGAAATCAATCGTCTGCTTAGTTTCCGAAAAAAAAAAATTCGCGAAAATAGCTTATTTTTCTAGTCTACAGACAGAATTGCCTCCTTAATCGGCATTTCTGCTAAGAAAAAAGGAAAGCGCGATATATGGCTATTAGAGCAAGCGAGACACCTATAGAGACAGCGCGGTGTTTCTATAGCTGTCTCACTCATATTGCCTGCATTCAAGCGTAGAGTGAATGAGACAGCTATTGGGGACACCATTAACCGTACCACGTCTGGTAATGCTTTCTCTTTCGATCGTGTGACGTACGATAAGGATGCAACATCGGAACGTCTTCCACCACTTCTCCTTCTTCGCTTCTCTCGCGCTGTACAGTACGCTCATATGCGTATGCGTATATGCCTGTCATCGGTTTCGATTGTTTTACAGGCGTATACGACATCGCCGAGGGGCACCATACCTGCCTCTGAGTGTACACACACACACACACACACACACGGTGGGTGCAAGGGGTGGTTTCGGCCCCCTCCCGCACCCACCCCGTCCTCGTTGCGCGTGGAAAGTTGCAAACCCATTCGGAATCTTGCTTAAGGCCATCACACATAAAATTCCGTAAGAACGTAAGACGTAAACTTAAGATGTAAGACGTAAAGTCCATGACATACAGTTGGCGTAAAACGTAAAAGTCAGCCAATGGAAAATGCAGAAAGATTCCTTTGCATTTTGTAAAGTTTAACCTGAAATGTCAATGTTAGTACCATTCCACCAAACAGTAAGTATGCTTCCTTTTTATTGAATTTCAAATTTTACAATAATATAAAATGTATTTAGATATATGAATATTAGAATCATTGACACTTTGATAACAAAGAGTGTTTTATAAAAAATAAAATGCATCATTTAGATTTTGTTTAAGTAAGGTGTTCTATTAATATTTCTTTCAATGACAATTAGGAAAAAAATTGCCAGTTTTAGTAACAAACTTAAGTCACGTATATCTTGTAAAGGAACATAGTACAGAAGTAATTGTATATGCGTATAAAACCATTTTTCAGGTCATTTATTGAAGGAATTTGTTGAACACTTGCAAATGACAAAAGAGGATATATTACTTACCATCAAATGCCCATCGCGTAACAAGAGGAGCATATAATCAAAGAGACTTGTTAGCAAATTTCTTTGTCACTTCTGAAGGTGAACTTCCATGGCAGTATACATATGTCCGCAGAGGTTTCAATTGTGATGATACTCCAGACATGTAATTATATATGTTTGTAATAAATTTCCAATGTACATATAATTACAAGATATTGTTTGAATGTTTCATTTATTGCAAAATATACAATATCAATAATCTATATATTTTATATATTATATAAAGAAAGATTATATAATATTATATAAAGAAAAATACAGAAGAATACATATGGAATAACTCTCTTTCCCTGAGCACGTCTACATATAATTACAGTTAAATATCTTGAATATAAAAACGTAAGCATAAAATATTATAAAGAACAAGAAAATAACATAGCATCCTATCCAAAAATAAACATTAGGAACATTAGGAACACAAATACGAAATTAATAGTATGCTATCTAAAATTTAAAATATAAAAATGGTTCGTAACTTTGCTGTCATTTTCGTCTTCAAGAATTATATAAGGTTCATACAAAATTTGCATAACTGCTTGCTGGCGTTCATATTTTTCATATGATGGTAACTTTTCTAATTGATTCGCGATTAACCTTGCAAAAGTTTCTTCCGAGGAACCAGTAATTTCGGAATTACGATTATTGTGGAGACGTTGGTGCATAGTTTGATAAAGTAAAACTAGAGAACTCTCCAATGCGCCTGAGTTATCTTTTTTCTTATATGGTGGTTGTCGCGACACTGGCGTAGCTTGCAAACTTTTGCATGCTGGAGAAGGTATTGACTCCCTTGTTGAAAACAATGTAGATTCTTCAGATTCATCAAGAATACTAGGTGTATTTGGACAACATTTGGGTGAAGTATTGGGTGTGTGAATATGACTCCGCCCTTTCCCAACAGATGTTGCTTTTAGTATTGTGAAAGTGTACTAATAATTGGCAACACTTGTATTCGATAGTACTTCATGTCAACTTTCAAACGCACTACGTGAAATTTGGTTTAAGTGTGAGTAACAAGTGTTTAACCCTACTTGAAAATGTCGGTTTTCGTTCCAAACAAACATCATTTGCGGGAAGTATTATTATACTATTTTATTGCAAAGAAAAGTGCAGCGGAAACTTATCGTTTGCTTGTGGAGATTTACGGTGATCATGCTCCATCTAATACAACTTGTAAGGAATGGTTTCGACGATTTCAAAATAATGATTTTGGAACTGAGGACAGAGAACATGGGAAACCACCAAAAAAATTTGAAGATGCTGAATTGGAAGCATTATTGACAGAAGATTGTTGCCAAACTCAATCCGAATTGGCTGTAGCATTGAATGTTGAACGATCAACTGTTGCAAAACGTTTAGAAGCAATGGGAATGATTCAAAAAGTTGTTAACTGGGTTCCATATGATTTGAAAGAAAGAGACATCGAACGTCGAAAAACAATTTGTGAAATGCTGCTTCAAAGACAGCAAAGAAAAGGATTTTTGCATCGAATAGTCACGGGAGATGAAAAATGGATATATTATGAGAATCCTAAACGCCAAAAAGCTTGGGTGAAGCCAGGTGAACCCAGCCTATCACAGCCAAAAAGAAATATTCACTGTGCCAAGGTTATGCTCTGTATTTGGTGGGATCAGAGAGGTGTTGTATATTATGAGTTGCTCGAACCCTCTGAAACTATTAAAGAAGAAGTTTACCGACGACAACTAATGCGTTTGAAGCGAGCCATAGAAGAAAAACGGCCAGAATGGGTGAATAGACACAGCAAATTAATTCTTCAGCATGATAATGCCAAACCGCATACCGCAGAAGTCGTGAAAAGATATTTAGATGGACAGGACTGGGAAGTGCTACTCCACCCGCCATATTCGCCAGACATAGCTCCTTCACTTCACTTGGTCTATTTTTATTCTTATTGCCTGTTGCCTGACATTGTGTTTAGGGCTTAAAGGCTGCGTTTCGATATCCACTACCAGTACTGAAAATACATAGTTTATGTCACGTATACTATAGATTTTCAGTGCTGACAGTGAATATCGGAACGCAGCCATAGAAAGAAAGAAAGAAAGAAAGCAAAGTTGAGTCAAGTTATTGTCACTAGGCTATACTTACTTTCCATGGTTTCTGCAATTTCCCATATTTTTCTTTGCAGACATATTTCTGTTGGCAAAAATTTTTGGTATTTTCTTTACATCATTCCCCAGATCGATCAGAGTCAGATTTTGCAATATTAGAAGGATAATTGTTCTTCAAAATTTATAATAATACTTTTGAGCTACATTGCGAGTACAATGCTCTAGTAAATTAAGCAGTTTTCATTTTCATTTCAAGTCTTAAAAAAACGCTGTGCACGTCTCGTGTAAACGATTCTCTTAATTACAAATATTATAATTATAAAGTAATTCTTTCTGTATCTCGGTCAAAAAAATGGGAAATGCTTTTGCTCATTTCGCGCATCTCTGTTCTTCTGGTAGACCTTTAATTATATTTGTCCCATAGACCTGATTTATGATTTGTCCCCTTCCCCTCAGTATTTAGCATTGCTTCCATTAGTATGGCTGCGTTCAGAAAACACAACGGTTACACAACGGTTGAGTAATTCGTCAACGTTATTGGTCTAAATGTAAGGATCTAACAGTAAGGACCAATAGTTACTAAGCGCTCAGTAAGCGCTTTGTTTTCTGAACACAACCTATGTTGACTTTGAAGATCGTTCATTTCTTTTTGGCGCCTGATGTTTTGAAATATATGCTTTTAGGTTACATCGAGTCCGGGGCAGTCTTTCGTGAAGAAATGTTTTCCAGAAATAAAAAAGTCGAGACAGACATCGACGTATTGTTAGACGAGCCGTTAACCAGTGAATCGTGTACAAAAGTGGTGATTGAACTCATAAAATACATTCTCTATCAAAAGCAGCAAATACCATTCGCATACGAAGCTTTAGCTCAGTTCCAGAAGAGTATGAAGGCGACAGACAGAAACACGGTGCCCTTTAAAACCTTAACGAACACGTTAAAGAGCGTCTCGGATAATCTGTTTTCGCAATTCTTTCTCAAAGGATGCGACATGCAGGAAATTGCTATATTAATTGGTGCTACATTATCATCACCAAAACTGTGCATTAGGATAGAGCTTCCATCATATGTTCTCAATAGCAAGCAGCACGAAGAATATCAGCATTCTTCGCGGAAACCGCTTGTAAAACTCATGAGGTTAATGAATAAATAAGAGCTTCAATTGAATATCGTAGTTGCATATTCATATAAACGTTTGTACATTTGTAAAATTTACCATTTATAGGTCTATGCTGGAATGTGACGAGTTTCAGACAGCTATGAGTATTCCTATAAGTGCAACAAATACTTTTATTATGTTGAAGAAAAAGGACAGTAATCCAATATCGGACTTCTTTATACCTAAACCACAATATGTGATACCTACGCAAACCACAAGTTTTAACATCAGACTGTGCCAGAGTAATCAAGTGAACATACAATGTACTTGTAGGAATCTTGTTAAAGTGCATCACGATTCATACACACTTCATGCAGCAGAAGACTACAATGAAGATAATGTGCAGTATATTCAGCATGATAGTTCCACTCAATCCTCGTATCATTGGCATCAGTCAAAGCAAATCATAAAAGGATTTAAGTATCATTTGTGACCATACACTTAAGTTTACGATATAACAATTATAGCAGAAATAATTTCATACTGTTACTGTATAAAGCACAGATCGATGATTTTTCTATTTTGGAACGATAGATCAATATCATAAATTCATTTTAATCAAGGTTAATCAATGAGATAGTATTAGATATTAGCATATTTAATAATGCACTTATTATTGTACGCAATAACAAGTTTGAATGATGAACATGATCTGGTCACTGTTAAGTGCCATAAGGTCGTGTGATAGAAATTTTCACTTATTATCAAAGAGCTGACATAGTATTTTATATTTGTACATGTGATAAGTCTTATAAGCAATACAGCCATTATATTGGCTGTAATTGGTATCAATGCAAAATTATGTGACAATAGAACTTTATTGATAGAATTTTATTGATATCGCTGTATATTCATCATAAAAGTTGTAGACATGATAAAAATATTATTGATTTATACAAAGTAAAGCAGGATTTTCATAATGGATTTTTTAAAACTTGTGACAAACATTTTTTGTTGAATACATGATTATAATTGTTAAACATTTTTACTGAGTTGTATTAATTTGTACTTAATCATTATATTAATGATATATATTAATGATATATATTAATGATATATATTCCTTTATATTAATGTGTTACATAGTCATGTAGTCTATTGAAAAAACTTGCACATACACACAGGAAACATACGATCGCTCAAACAAATATGATAATATAAACATGATAAACACGTAGTATTGCGAATTTGCATATCATCATAAACAGATAATCCCTACCAGAAGAAAAATACTATACATCAAGAGAGGGGTACTGCATATTTCAACACGCGAAGATACTGACGAGAGAGAGAAAGAAATTACATTAAGTCTTGCACACGCAAGGAAAGCCTACAAACTTTATGTTGAACATGTCTGCTTTGAAATTCTTAACATCGGAACAGAAGCAATTTTGGGAAGAGAATGGTTACGTTAAATTGATCAACGTGTACTCCTTAAAGGAAATAAACGAAATATCGGATGCTTATAATGAATTGTTTGAGAGGAAACGTTGCGAAAATCTCGCAGGTCTGGAGTCCGCTTGGGTCGGAGAAGACATGAAGAAAGCAGCTGGATATATCGATTACACCGTAAGTGAAAAATACTCGTTTTATAAACTAAATGCATGTATGTATATGCATTAATTAATAATTTATGTAATCAGCTAATTTAGGATTAAAAAACGAAATTTTCTCGTGGTTGAGTTCGAAGAATTAGATTTTGAAATGATAAGCCTTTCTCAGTTCTATTCAAGTCCCAATGTATTTTTATAGAACATAACATGTCTAAATATAAAAAGATTTTTATTAATCTATTAACATTTTATAACATAACTAGTGATAATTTATTTATTTAAAAAAACCAAATTTGCATACATTTTCTAATTTTTTTGAATAAATTTTGTAGTAAATTTTATTTGTTTTTATTTCTTTGTCAGAACTACTTTCCAAGTCAAACATGTGAAACACCAGTTATACCTATCTGCTATTTGTCTTTAATTCTCTGCGAACCATGTGGGGTTGAATTAATCCCACAAGTGGTTTTAAAACTGCTGTATTACAAGTAAACAAAACTTGCATTCTGCCTCAAACAAAGCATGAAGAAAGATCATCTCTATTTGGATTTCAAAAAGATATTTCTCTTGTCTTCTGTGTTCTAAAATCCTACATGGTTCAGGACATGACTTTTATTCACTTGGTTCACAGAGGCTTAAAATAACACTAAATTTTCAAAATCAAGAATCAGGGCCTAGAAGTTTAGAAAAAAAAGAACATTCTGGACTTTTATGTTTGGAAATAAGAAATGGACACAAGTCTTTTTTTCCCTTTATTTATGTATATATACAAACATACATTTCAATTACATACGTAGGTTGCTGGAAAAGTTTTTGCAATCTAGTACTTGCAGTGGCGCCACTATTCTCCTACTGTCATACCCGTAAAATTAGATGTTTCCAACGTATAATTCAGTTGACAGTTTGTACCTAGTCAACTAATTTTGTTTGCATAGTATTTTAAAAGAAGTTATTTTGTGAGAAAATGGAAATTTCGCGTGAAAATTTTCGGGCAATGATTTTTTTACGATTACAAATGTAATCTAACTCCGAAACAATGCATCGATCGACTTCATTTGTTTTTTGAGAATGAAGCACCATCCAGTAGGACTGTTTATAATTAGTTTGCCGAATTTCAGCGTGGAGACGCACCGTTTTAAGTGACGAGTTTCGTGAAGGTCGTCAGTCCACGTCTGTTGTTGTTGCCACTAATGCTAATGCTATGCGTGTGAAATGATTAACATATTATCTTATCTTCACTTTCCAGGTGAAGTCCATTCACAACCTGCAGATGCATAGCGCTATCTTCACTCGCGCTATCACGCATCCGAATCTGTTGGACGCCCTCGAAGATAGCATGGACACGTCGGACATTCTGCTGCACCACACGAAAGCGCATATAAAGCCGCCGGAAAAAGGCGCGCCTTACCTGATGCATCAGGATTATCATTATTTTCCTCATAAAAAACACACAATGTTGGCGATATTCCTACACTTGGACGACACTACGCCAGAGAATGGAGGTTTAGCGGTGTATCCGGGTAGTCACAAGCTCGGCCCATTGACAGACTACGGTTTGACTGACGAGAAAGGTGACCAATATCATTATGTCAATCCTGAGGAGTATCCCTTGTCGAAAGCCATGCCGGTGTCGGCTAAAAGAGGAGAGATTATCATCTTCTCTTACCTGCTTCTTCACGGCTCGTACTTGAACCTGTCGTCCAGAAGCCGGCGTATGTTCCTGCTACAAGTACGAGCCGCCGATGACGAGCCCACTGAGGACGTGCATAAATCTCCTTGTCAAGGCCTGGTACTTCGTGGTAGAAACGTTCACAGAGAGGCAACGATGGCCAGCCGATTTACGCATTAATTCAATCATTCATCATATGGTAAACCGACAAACTAAGCACAAATATTTGCTTTGTCTACAATAATCTAATTGTAATAAAAACGCGGAAGAGACCGAGGACACAAATGCAAGTTTTTTCTCCTATGGACGAAATCGAAACGGATTAGCGCGATGAGTTTTTGTTTGATATTTGTGCTATGGAGAAAGAATCTAGCTTCTGGCTTGAGTTTCAGGTTTCAGGTTGTTCTTCCCCGAAGAAGTAAACTTGAAATGTTGACGGAAATCGATTCATGAACGATGCGGTCGAACCAATCTAGGAGCCAGGTCGAGGACATCTTGTCCTGTGCGTACTATCTTTCTTTTTCTTTTGCAGCTTTATTTTGATCTTGCGTCTGAGCCGTTGTGTCTTTCGATATTTCGAAAATACGGACTCTCAAAAGCCTAAAGTCGTTGACTGTTGTGAAACGCACGAATAGTACCACGAATCCTGCTGACCAGCTCTATATCATTAACCGAGACATAATCTTGAAACAGAACAAGAAAGGTAGCGTTAATAAGCGCATGGATTCGACGAACTGTCTCGCCGCTCACACATTCCTACTTCCAACGCACGAAAGATTTTGCACACATCGTGTTCATCATGCACGTTGTGGAGACTGTAAAGACTCACATAATTCTGTAGGATGACGCATTCTCTTCGGAAGAACGAACGTAATTAGAACTCCATAGGGTGCGCTTTATGAAACGAAAAAAACATGCCTGCTTTGGAGCACGTCTTTTTGATATCTTCATGAAGAGCAATATCAAGTCTGCTCTGGTATATCCCTTTCCCATATTATCCGTCGCGTACAATGTTACTATCGTCAAGCAAAAGTTGAAGAGCAGCGAAGAGTTGTGCTCGACCACAACTCTCCATGGAGTTGTGAAACTGTAAATACCGATCACTATGGATTTCTTTGTAACTTTGCCTTTTCAATACTGTATGGAAAGTGTTCTTTCATGGATAAGCAAATGCGATGTCACGTATTGTTGTTACTTGCGTTTCCTGGCATCATAGTCACCCCTACCACACATGCAGAACAGCGTCATCTACACGGTGCCGAATATGCAGGACAGGAAACATACAGTGAAGTAAAATTCACAATGACTCCTGTAAATATAATTAACGATGTTTACATATTGTCTCTAGTCGGTGTAATTTGACTTCAGCTCCACGGCATGTTCGTGACGAGCAGACGCTCGTCTACATTGCTTGTAGATCCGGGCAGTAAATCCAACTTTGTCCAGAGAGGATAGTTATCGCCGAAAATATCATGCTGAACCAACGAAAATTGTCCATAAGTAGATGAAATATATTATCAATATAATGAAAATATATTATCAAATCGCAACAAAATATAAATTATAATGCCAATATTGTTTGCAGAAGAAAGAGCCATTATCTGTTTCTTCAGTTTCAAGCAGTAGAAATATCAGCAAGCGTTCCGAAATCCGATAATTCGTCGAGCACAATTTCGTTACTTATTCGTTAAAAGGTCAATTAATCTAATTGACAAATATAACGAGCGATAAAATATAACGAACAATATTGTAAATAAGTATATACCATAAAATTCTCCAAGAAAAAGCGAAATCTCGATTCATGATTGACAGATGTTGCATTCATCATATCTACGTCATTTTTAAATTAAATAATCTTTTCCTGATTTAAATAAATTCATTTCTAAACCAGGATTAATTGGTCCGGTTCGTGTAGTGTGTGTAATTTTGACGTTAATAAATCGCGAGTTCTGCAACTAAAAATTGAAAAAACGGGCTATAGTCATGTTTCTTCCTGGATGTGTGAGTGTTGCAGGAAAAATACCCATAATATATAGAACAAGATAGCGTAACTGTATCCTGACAGAAGGCTGAAGGAAATAGGCAAGGATCTAGGCAGGGCTTTCCACAGAAATGATATTTCCGCAAAGTCTCGCTCGATCAGTTTGGAATATTCCTCCAAGAGTCGCATTTTGGACTCTTGTTCGCACGACACGACGTTTGCGGAGAGAGACAGCAAAAAAGAGGAGCGTCACAACAGTGCAAGTGCAACATATTGTACGCGCGACAGTTACTTTGTTGAGTGGAAAGTTCTAACATTGATGTAACGTTATTGTTCGTCGGTGTTGAACCGTGCGTAACCCCACATTTCTCTCTCGCACTTCCTGCTAAAACGTCGCGTAATTTTTCGTAAGAGCGCGCGGCTTTCGCTCGCGCAAAGAAGCGGGAATTTGGATTGAGTCCGCTCATTTCCACCGTACCTTCTGCACTCCGTCACCTCCCTGTCTCGCTCCCGAATACGGATCCCCCGAGTGCGGATCTACGTTGCTCCAAGAGTAGCGGCGAGTGCAGCTAGTTTGCGAAGAACGGCAGGAACGAGTCGCGAATTTGACACAGGGCCAGGCATAAAACTGCAGAAAGCAGCGCGAGAGACTCCGCAAGCGGCCTCGCGGAAGGAAAACGGAGGAAGCCGCGGATTCGTCGCGAACTATCGTCTCGCGAGAGGAGACACGCGAAAGTCCGTCATAGTCCCGATACGTTCCGAGATACGTGCAATGAAATTCCGATATAATCGGTTCGCCGTAATAGCCCACGGCGGGCGAGCCGAGAGCAAGCGGTGAAACCGGTATAATTTCGGCAGAGCTCAGTTTCCGAGGCTATTGGCACGCGAAAACGGACCTTAACACGAGCGAGCGCGCGCGCGCGCCCGCCCGCCCGCCGCGTTTCGCGTACGCGGGGGATCGTTATCGCGCGGGCGCGGTTATCGCGATCCGAAATCTGTGAAATTACAACGACTCGTGTGCGGCCCCGGGCCCGAAGCAGCAATTCGGAGTAGCGGGCTAGTCGAGAGGAGGCTCTCCGCCGGCTTAGCGTGCGGAGGACGTGCGTGCGTGCGTGCGCGAGTGCGCGAGTGCGCGAGCGAGCGAGAAAGAGAGCGAACGAGCGAAAGAAGTCGTCGCGGCTCCCACTCTCTCGTGGGAGTCGGACGAACCGCGCGAGCAGAAACGTAGGAACGCGCGGACTGCGAACCGCCGCCACTGCCAGTGTTGTCGACGAGAAGGGTCGGCACGAAGGCCAGAGATTTCCTCCCCGGCAATTTTGTCCCTCCCACCGACGACGACGACGACGACGACAGCGACAACGACGACAGCGACGGCGACAACGACGACAACGACGACAGTGACGACGACGACGACGACGACGATAACAACAACGACGGCGACGGCGACGACGACGACGACGACGACGACGACGACGACGACGACGACGACAACGACGACGACGACAACGACGACAACGACGGTGGCGGCGGCAGCGCGGCGCGGCGCGACGAGACGACAGAATCACGCGGAAGGAAGCGGACGACAGTGGACGCGCGCGCGTTCCTGCTCTCCCTCTCTCCACTGGCTCGCGGCTGCTGCGATCTCGCGGCTCTCGTCGGGGCGCGTCTCACGTAGAATACGCGCACGCGGAGACACGCTCTCGCGGCCGAAGTGAAACACATGTGTCGCGGCCGAGTGGTGTTTTCCACCGCCGCGGACCGTTGCCCGTCGCTCACCGTCCGCAGGCCGTGTTCGCTGGCCGCGAGGTCGGTCTCGTCCGTCGCGGAGACGCGCGACAACATCCGACGCGCACGACGTCCTCGCTGAAGACGGCCCTCGGGACGATGCGCTGCGCTACAACCACGGCGAAATAGGAGCAGCAACAGCGGAAGGCGGTAGGTGCGTGCGTGGGTGGGTGGGTGTCTGGCGACCGCCGTTCTCTCTCTCACGCATGCCGGATTTCTCCGGGAGCGGATACGCGGATCCTCGCGCGCACTCTTGCCGAAGAGGTATACAAGCGTCTGTGACACCGTCACTCAGCTCCTGTGATTCGCCGGCTGTTGGTGACCTGGCGTCGTCGTCCCTCGCTCGCTCGTTCGCTCGCTCGCTCGCTCGCACGTACGTACGTACGTACGCACGCACCCGCCGTGACGGTCGCACACCGTGCGTTTTCCCCCCCGAGTGCGAGAGGAAAGGAAAAAAATGTCGCCTGCCAGTCGGCAGTGTCGCGGTGTCTATGACATGCTGGCGTACGCGGTGACTCCGTCGCCGACGACACTGTGACCGGCCGCGAGAACGGATGGCACTTGGATGGACACGTCGCCCCTGCTCGCGAGCTCGCCTGCCCTGTAGGCCGTCGTCAGGTTCGCCAAGTGGAGTCGAGTCAAGTCGGCCACGCGTCTTGCCCGCGGTTCTCTCTGGCTTCTGTGACTATGCTCGACGATTTCTCGCCACGTCCACGGCGTTGTTTTCAGTTGCTACTTGTCAATATGATACGTGTGCCTCGGACTTTGTAACTTGCAGATTCTTGTTTCTCTGAGAGAAAGAAAATAGGAAGAAAGAGAGAAAGAGAGAAACTGCAAAGAGTAAGATGCTGTTCACTGGGTCTGTAAGCTGCGATCACTCAGGCATCTGTGTTTGATTATCTTAATGAACAGGACAACAAAATACACATAGGTTGTGTAGTCGTTGTGTCTCGTATGCTGAAAAGCTGGAGTATGAGAGGCCAAGCGGAGGAAAATGGATATCGGTAAAGTATCAGTATGCGTGAAAAGTCAGCAGAATGTCATGCTCACGCAGGTCACGTGAGGTGCACGACAGAGATGTGCTCGCGTGATCCTCCTACATTGCACCCGACCCTTGCCAAGGCAAACGGTAAAAATTCGAGTCCCCAGCCAGCTCACCACACGGAGGCACGTATTGATAGTAACCTCCTACCGACTCCTGGTGGCCGTTTGAAATTCTTCAAGGATGGAAAGTTTATTCTGGAGCTGTCTCACCGTAGGGACGGAGAGAAGACCACATGGTTCCCTGTGCCAAAGAAAACCTTTTGGCCACCTGCTAGCACTATCCCAAATCGACAGGAGAGTTCTACTTCCCTTAGTGGTAGGTACTTGTGAGGAATACATTAATTGATATTACATGTTCGTGTATAGATTCATGCTTCCCATTATTCACTTGGCAATCATTCATCACATTTTTCCAAGCTGCAAGCTATCAATTTACTTTTTGTTCTTCACAAGGCTCGTTCTTCCTTTTAATTTGAATTGTCACACACACACACACACATATATATAGCGCACAAGAAAAACTCATAAGTAACATAAAAAGTTTGCATGCTATATTCTGTTCTCAGTTTCAGACGATAATTCATCGGTGCAGTCCAGTCCTTGGCAGAGAGATCACTGCTGGAAGCAGACTCATCCCCGACGCAGGATAACCACGGAATTTAATTTCTATTATCGTCGACACCCGAAGATCCATCTATGCGCGCACCCTCGTCTAATAGCGAAAAAACGCAGGCGTCCGTTCGATTCCACGGCTACCGCACTCGTCCCGGAATCGACGGCCGCCTATTCGAGAGGGTCGCGTAAATTGAACGGCACCTCATCGTCGTCCTCGTCGTCATCGTCGTCGGGCAAAGTTCTCAGTCTGGTTATCGACAAACTTGTGCGTCTGTTGGATACGAATGCTGTGTCGCCGCGTAAACGCATCTTGCGCGAGTTAGAGAGAGTCTCGCTGGAGGACCAAGCGTCCAAGAGGAGGGCCACTCCGCAGCCGACCTGCACGACGACGAGCGCGCCGACCCCCACCACGAAGCAGGTGTCGTCGTACAGTATAACGAGTATTCTAGGCGAGGACAAGCCGAATTCGACCGAGCAAGGCTTCTTGAGGAATCTGCTGAATTCGGACGAGCGACAGCAGCAGCCGCAGCAGCAGCAACAGCCTGTGAAATACTCATCGAGCAACAACGCTTATCCGCGGGTACGAATCGACCCTTACCTCGGCTCCAGCAATACGTCTGTACATCATCCACTCTACGGATTGCCGATGTTGCCTCCCGGACCGTACAGGGGACCCCTGTGGATGCATTATCCGTCTCCCGTCCACTATGCACCTCCCATGCCACTGTACGCGCCGCCGCACTCTCATCCACCATCCCCGCCCGTTCATCACTATAAAGACTACAGGGAACAAACTCTCACACCTCCTTCAGGTACGTTGGATCGTGACTATCGCTTATCTATTACTATCTGCTATCGTGCCCGGTGAAACGGACACGTGGTCGTTATCGTGGTCGTGAGACGGATATTTGTAGGGACAGCGAAAAACACTATATTCATAGACATAGAAAACACTTACGACGTGTTCTCGAAGAGGAACGCGTCGTAAGTCATGTCACCGATATAGTCGCATATGATTATCTCATTTCCTCTGTGCGTAGATATGCCTCTGAATCTGTCGAAGCATGCGGGTTGAATCTCAGGATCCCACAATAGTTGGTGCCTTATCAGTGGACAAAACTACATGCAGAACACTGCCCGTGCAACGACAAGGAAGAAGAAGAAGAAGAAAAAGAAGAAAAAGAAAAAGTAGAAGAAGAACAAGAAGAAAAAGAAGAAGAAGAAGAAAAAGGAGAAGGAGAAGAAGAAGAAGAAGAAGAAGTGGATGATGATGATGATGATGATGATGATGATGATGATGATGATGATGATGATGATGATGATGATGATGATGATGATGATAATGATGATCATGATCATGATAATGGTGGTGGTGATGAGAATGAAAATGAGGATGAGGGTGATGAAAATGCGAATGATGATGATGATGACGAAAATGAAGGAGAAATGCGATATATTAGTATTTTTTTATTCATAAAACACAATAGTATCTTAGTGAGTAGGGAGATACGAAACCAGACGCGAAATTGGACTCTGGAGGAGAGTTATACTTGTACATATACAAATGGATAAATTGCCCAATGTGGCAGCATAGGTATTTTATATCGATATTATCGACAAGATTATATCAGTCGTGAGTGGTAAATAACAAAAACTTTTCGCGTATAAAAACAAGCAAAAGTGGCGGGCAAAGGCGGGTGCATCTGTGCGTGTCACGTACTTTTCATTATCGTATCATATGCGATTTGTAAATGTTACTCTCTGTGTTGGAGGTGGAACGAATAGAGTCGAAAGAAAGAAGAAAAGAGACGGGTAAGAGCGAAAGGTTCGCGCGCACGCGTGCGAATTTTCTATTATCTAAGAGCCACGCGAGTAAAAACGTATTATACCGTCGATACGGAAGTATATATTAGCGATCATGAGCGACGTGCTAGTGATATTGCCTTGGGTACGTTTTACTTTCGACACTTTTCATTGCTACTCATGTTTTTACATCGCGACGACGAGAGAGGAGCGGCCGAGCTACACGTGTGCGGGTCTCGCTCTATCCGCGTATTTCTTTATTATGCATTTTTCTCGTTATTTTTATTAATGTTACTGTCATTACTATCATTATTGAATGGTACACTATCTTCTATCGTAAAAGAATCATAAGAAAGACATAGAATTATGTACAGAACAGATTATTGCCTCTACATCTAGCGTATTAATTATTCTTTAAAAATAGAAGAAGCATAATAAAATTTAGGTTCTAATGGATATCCACACACGTACACATACATACACACACACACACACACACACAGCAACAAGTATACAGTTATTTATACGATATTAACGAAGAGAGAACAAAATTACTTTGGTAATGAAAGGAAAAAACCGTGGGGTGTGCCTTAAAGTAATTATTGAAATTTCCATGAAGCTAAATTATTATATAAACATTCGTACACGCGGATATATGCATTATTATTATAAAAGAGAAAAAAACAACGGAAAGGGCACAATATTATGTATATATAAATATATTTCTATGTTACGTATTCGCATCTCAAATCGACGCATATATATTCGTTACTTTATTTATTATTAGTCAGGCGCATTACGAAACATTTCGCGACGAAACAAGGCAAGCTCGCACAGGTTCTATACGAATTAGTGAGTAATTTTAATTATTCATCGACATGCGCTTTTTATCGATTCAAACAAAGCGAAAAATATATGACTGCGTATTAGCAATTGTATAGAAAGACTAATTTCGTAAATATAAATATTTCATATACTATATACATCGATATTCCTCTCACTCATATGTTTTCCGATGCAGAGCTCTTCAAAATCGAACATGTCGAACTGTCCGAGTATATTCTTCCCGTATCGTTGTTTATCATTCAAAAGTGCGGAACATCCTTTAATCGATTAATTGATTTCATGAATTTGAACCTTATAATATATCAGTACGAACAAGCCCAATGAGCTTTTGGATTTGATTGCTTTGTTTTTTAGATCACTATTTGTAAATAAAATATAAAAAAAAATTCAGAGGATATAAAATTTCAAGATGACTTAATGCACTTTGTTTACTGGGCATACTTTCTAAGTATTTTTGTATATCGTAATTTTTGATAAAAAAAAAGGAGCGGAATATCTTTTAAACAATTAATTAATTCAAGGCGAATTTATACTGCTTATAATTTATTATCTCTATTTACAATATTTTACAATATAATATTTTTATGTATGTTCTATTTAAATTTATGTGCTCTCACATACGTAATTATTGATCTATATATACTCGAAGTTATATAAAAAATTTAGATCGTGACACACACCTGGTAAATTTAAAACTTAAAATGGCTTTAGAGCACGCTGCAAACTGATATATTTATTTTCTTTCGAAAATCAATAATTTCTTTTTATATTAACAATAAGAGATGACAAAAAATTTTTCAGGAATACACGTGTAGTGTCCATACTGCTTGTATAAGACCTGGGAAAAGAAGATCGTACATGATCATATATAATTATGTAAAATCATATACGATTGTATATTGTCTATATGGTCACATATATAATGATATGTCCACACGGAAAAAGAACGTTAAGAATGACGTTAAATGAACAGAAGAAGAGATAGTTCTTTTTTTTATTCAAATAAAAACGTTCACGTCAGAGCGTAAGTTGCTACATAACCATTTACTTCGATTATATTTGTATAATAGCATTTTTTTTTCCCTCTTCGGTTTTGGAAGTTGTGGACATATATGATCGTGCATGATTATACACAAACAAAATTCATCATGTCTAATCATTTTTTCTCGGGGAATCCGACGTAGTATCTAAATGTTCATATGTTTATTTTCGCGTGCAATGCAATGTTTTATTAAAATTATTATTAAAAAGAGCGGGACATCTCTCTTTATATCAATTAATTCAATATCATCTAATATATTATATCTTATTTTATATTATCTTTATTTAAATATTTTATTCATCTTTAGACTGCGCTTTCTCATACATATGATACATGGTCGTAATGTTCTCAGAGCTTCCTGGAAAAGTTGATGTCGCAATGTGCAACATTTTTCATTTGAAACGATTCTAAAAGACATTACAAAATGATACTTGTATATCATTTCCAATTAGTAACTCTTATTAATACGTAATAGAAAATCCACGATTAGCGTATACGCTTAGCACGTATAGTAGAATCTTTTTCTCGTCCATGCAGAGATTGCGAGGATGAACATTTGCCTTGCATTAACAATAACCTATATTTATTGAGAAACTAATAGATAAGAATCAATCAGAGAAAATCAAGTAGAATATACCTCGTACAGAAAAAAGATGATCGGTCGTTTTCCTTTACTCTTTATCTCGAAAAAGTACACTAGCTCTTTTTGGAAACACACTTGCCGTCGTTAATTTGAAAAGCAGGCTGGCCAAGCGAAACGACCTAAACTGCAGGGAAAATAGTGATGCACCAATGGTAGTTGGCATGTCGCGCGCACACCTCGTACGCGCATCGTTATACGTTGCGTCCTGCCCACTTTAGATGGCGTTTAGGCAGTACGGGCTTGTTTTGTACGAGTCGTCGTCGTCGGTCGCATCGCCGGACAGTCGGGATCCGGTAGTGCAGCGTTTGTGTCGTGCGGTTCTTCCTCGTATGCTTGCTTCGTTCGCCAGCTATATCGGCAGTTTTCGGGAGAAGTCCGAGTGTGTTGGTTTTCGTCGCGCGTGCTCGGCATCCGCTCGCTTGTCCGCTCGCACGCTCGTTCGCTCGGCCAAAGGTAGAGACATACGGGGCCGGAGCGAAAAACGCGGGACGCGACGCGTTATCGTGCCCGATCACGGGAGCAGTGGTGCACTGGTCGAGTGTGCGCGTTTCTCGAAGAGGGAAAAAGGTAAGCGAAGTGCACGACTCGTCGTCCGAGGTGGTACGCGGAGCTGGTGGAGGGGCTGTCGGATCTGCAGCCTTGTCTGGTCGTGCGTGTAGCGGCACAGCGCTACTCGCCGAATTAAAATGGCGGGCCTGCTCGGCCTTACGCGCGGAGGTAACGGCCACCGACGATGCTAGTCGCCGACGCCAGGGACACGTGAGGGTGGCCCCGTTGTTGTTGGCTACCGTTGTGCGTGCCGCTTCTGGATATTTTCCCGCGTCCGGGTGCTGTGCGTCGCTTACTCGTGCTGCATACTGTGTTTGCATCGCGCACCGAGTACACCGCCGTAGGAGCATTGCGAGAACGCGGAGGGACGTCGGAGAGAGAGAGAGAGAGAGAGAGAGAGGGGGAGAGAGTGAACGAAAGGCAGAGAGAGAGAGAAGAGAGAGAGCGAGAGCGAGTTTTTTAACACGTAAATAATAGCGTTGCAAGTTTGTGATACTCATTTGCGAGAAAGAGGGCGGACGGGCAGGAGAGAGAGAGAGAGAGAGAGAGTGAGAGAGAGGGAGAATCGTTCAGCGTGTAGACTGAAGTCGCGGGAAAAAGGGAGGGAAATAGGAAGAGAGAAAGAGAAGGAGAGAGAGAGAGAGAGGGGAAGGGAGAAATAGAAAAGGATAAAGATAGAGCAAGAAAGGGCAATATAAAGAAAGAGCGAAAAGTTCAAGGGACAGACATACGAACAGGCACGCAGGAGGACGCGCGGCGGCAGAAACGCAGACAGAACGCATGGACGAAAGTTGATTCGGCAATGGACAAACAATCACGATGAAGTGACGAGCTCCGAAGCGAAGAGTTAACTCTACGACGACGAACACACGACGACGACGACGACGAGTGCGAGTCTGAACGAGAGAGTGCCGTCGTCGGCAACCGATTGTATCACATTTCGGAGGACGAATAGTCTCGATGCCGATGCCGACCGAATACCACGAGAGCCACGGTAACCACGAGAACGCCAATTTCGCTCTCGGGTCCACGCAGGACGCCAGCAACATGACGGCCAACATGTACCGGGTGGGAGGTAAAGTAAAACCGCATGCATTCCGTCGCTGATGTCGACGTCGACGCCGTCGCCGTCGCCGTCGCCTTCGCCGTCAATTCGTATCGTCTCCGAGAAAGAGTGCGCGATTTTAATTAACTTCGAGAAATTAATGTTTGCAAATGGCATCTCGCAATGGCGTCCCCTACATAATACCCTCCGCGCGCCGTGTTCTGTCCCCCCTGCTCCCCCTCCTATCACCCTCCCTCGCGCGCCCCTCTCTTCTTCCACTCTTCATCTGGATTTCCCTCGTACCCTCCATCCCTTCCGATGCCGGCCCCTCTCTTCCCACCTTCACTTCATCCTCCTGCTCTTCCTCCTTCTCCTCCCCCTCCACCTCCCCCTCCTCCTCCTCCTCTTCATCCTCGCTCCCTGGTCCTATACGTACGTTCCAGCTTTTCCTCTCCCCTTTTCCCTCCCGACTCTTCCATTCTTCCTCCTCCCCGGCCCCCTCTGGCTGCCCCCGCATCCGCACAACTGTTCTCTCTCTCTCTCTCTCTCTCTCTCTCTCTGTCTCTGTCTCTGTCTCTGTCTCTCGTCCAGGTCACGCTAATTTCTTGCGCGACAAATCTCTCGCGATCAAAATTGGATCCTGGACGATACGTGCTTACGCGACACGCTACTACACCGTCTCGTCTCTTGTTCCGTCCTATCGACGACGTCATTGCAGGATGTTCGTCGTGCGCTACGCGTCACAGCTTCCTTTCAGCGACGAAGACCAACATTGCCCCTGTACCTTTTCCCCCCTTGCTCTCCCTTCTACGTTGTACCTTTCCCCCTTTACCCCCCTCTGTTCATAGCCTTTTCCACTATGCCCCCTTCCATCCCTCCCTTTCGATTTCGTATTACCGGCGAGGACGTGTATGAGCCGGTCGAAATTTTCGTCCGCACGTCACGGCGGACGACGAAAGATCGTTTCTACAATTAATGATATTTCTAGATGAATCCCACATGGTTCTTCTAGCGAAGGAAAGTTATTATTTTCTTTCGATAAAATGCGTATGTTTAATGGAGATCACGCGAGAAAAAGGGAATAACGCGCGTAGTGGCTCAAAGCGGCTACATGCGAAACCGGAGTTTCGTAATAATAATCCCAACTGCTATGTGATTCTTCTTATTTGCAGCAAGATTACACTAATGTAATTACTGATTCTTAGATTACGTGTATTTCGAAACCTCCACATCGTCGCCGTACCAGATCAGAAGGATAGAAGAATTAAATAAGGTGAGACAGAGAGCTGATAGTTTTACATAACAATTTCGACGCGCTGCTAACAATTATTATTTTTAAGCGTTTCACCTTCCGATACATCAACCTTTTGAGATATGAATATTTATAAGTACATCGCGATAAACACACACACACACACACATACATGTATCTACGTATATATACGTACAGTTTTCAACCTCGACGTTTCCTGTTTTTTTCAGACCCCGAATGGTAATGTGGAAGCCAAAGTCATGTGCTTCTTCAGGCGGAGGGATTTACCTTCTACCTTAATTATGCTCGCAGATAAACATCAATGTAAGTAGCACACGAGTAGCATTCGAGCAATGCGAGTTGGTGTTATTATAAATATTTGTAAATATATGGCAAGTCCGTGTCGGAGTGGAACGCGACTTGAATTTTCCTCGCGACGCTCAGCCAACGCACACGCGCCTTTGCGCGAGGAAGAAAAAGAACGTATTTTCCTTCCTGAGGATATATCAAATACTAGGAATGCCGCTTGTCTCGTGTATCCTGACGAACATTTCCGGGACTCTAGCGCCAAATAGTGTTCCTCGACGATATGTCAATATTGTTCGTCAATAATGTTCCCCGATAATATCGTCGATATAATGTTCGCTCTGGAATTCCTTTCGCGAATTATTCCTCCAGTTCGCGCAGCTCGCGACTGCTCGCTCCGCTCGCTCGCTCGCTCTCGCAGAGCGCATAACGACATACGCGACGCGAAAACGCGATTCTCGGTTGTAACGCGCGTACGAGAGAGATTTTCAGTAATATGTGAGCCGCTGAATTTCACTGCGGAACACGACGAAGTGGACGTTAGTTTTAACATTCGCCGACGTACGTGCTGTGTGTGTGTTGAGAGAGCGAGAGAGAGAGAGAGAGAGAGAGAGAGAGAGAGAGAGAGAGAGAGAGAGATCGATAACTGTGTTTCATAGGTGAGGAAAATTTATCCGCGGATGTTTCATCTCTCTCTGCATACGCGACGAAGATTCTGGCCGCACTTTCCAGTCGGCTATCGATTTTCTTCGTATGGCAATCATTATTGACGACACCGTGTCGGCACTTTCGCGACACGACGACGACGCGGCGGCGGCGGCGGCGGCACGGCCGCCGT